AAGACATTTACATTTATTCATTTAGCTGACGCTTTTATCAAAAGCGACTTACAATTGCTATGCATGTCAGAGGTCGCACTCCTCTGGAGCAACTAGGGGTTAAGTGTCTTGCTCAGGGACACAGTGGTGGATGTCACACAGTGGGAATTGAACCCAGGTCTCCCACACCAAAGGCAAGCATCTTATGTGTAGTAAATCTGAGGCCATGCATTTAGACACATTTTTCAAAAAACCAGTTGGCAGAATGAGGAGGATTTCAGATGTTTTATGTCCTCCAGGTTTTTATGGTTAATAGCATCAAAGTGTCTCATGCTATATGAATTGTTTTTAAGTGGACACAGGGACAAGACACTGATTGCTTGTCTAATTGTTTGAATTTTGTCTGTGAAGAAGGAAGCAAATTCATTGCAGGCCCTGGTGGATAGAAGTTAAGGGGCTACAGACACAGGAGGGTTGGTCAGCCTGTCGACAGCAGCAAACAGGGCACGTGCATTATTAGTGTTTCTGGTGATGATGTCAGAGAAGACAGTCACTGACAGACAGGGCCACACATAGACAAACGGTCACCAATCAACCTAGCCTACATGTCTTTGGATGGTGGGAGGAAGCTGCAGCACCTGGAGAGAACCCACGCAGACACGGGGAGAACATTCAAACGCCACACAGAAAGGCCTGGAGCAACCAAGGTTCGAACCCACGCTTCTTGCTGTGAGGCGACAGTGCTAACCACTGCACCAACCCTACAGTATGTCTTTCGTTATTAATTAGCAATGTGCAGCATATCAGTATTTTATCAACTACATTACAGAAACAAATGTTCACAATGAGTTCTTAGTAACTACTAATGTGTTTGAAATTAGTGATTTATTAAATTCTCTGAGAGCATCTGTAGTGCCATGGCCAGCTGTCGGAGATCAAAACCCTCAAAGCAAACCTTCATCTTCATCAGAGCTGGAGAGAAGCCAACGGCATCTAAATCAACATCAGGACTTCTCAGCACTACCCAGGACTGGCATTAAGAGAAAATCTTTTTTCTACAGTGAATGGATGGAGAAGGGTATCTGGTCGTTTGTTCACTTATTAGATAATTGTGGTAACTTCTTAACATATGTCTTCATCCAGAAATACAGCTTGATGTGCACTGAGAGGAAATTTAAAACGGTAATTAAGGCAATCCCATGAGCGCTGATAATTTTAGTAAAAAAGTATGTTAACATACTCTGTGGTTATTCCTCAAGAGCCCTCGTTAATCATTGATGCATATAATTTCTTGGATAAAAACAAATGTAATAATACAGTTTTAAGAAATGTCCTCACTTTGCTCTGCTTCCCTTCACCTCTCAAGAGAAAACATATCTTCCAGATATTTACTAGCAGTTTGTCTGTTAGCATTCAACTCTTTTCAGAATAACAGACATTTGTTGTCACTGATTAATTTAAAGTAGACATGCTGTTTGTTGTGTTATTTGTTTAAATATCAATGAAAACGCTATATTAAAGAGGCATTATGTAGTTTTCAGTGGCCACTAGCGGTGCAGTTTTAAGATTGAAACAAACAAAGCGGAAGCAGCACCCAGGGTCAACCCTCCTCAAACTCTGGCATGAAATTATAAAGAGTATTTTCTTTACTATGATTTCTTCTTTAAAAATCTACTATGTGGTCACTTTCTTAGCGCAAATTTTATAATGGGATCCTAACCCACCCTAATGTTCAATTTTGTATCAGATTCTTAAGCTCAAATCCATCAGAATCAGAAAGAGCTTTATTGCCAAGTAGTATTTTACAGGTACGAGGAATTTGCCTTGGTATAAATTGGTGCTTATAGTACACATGAACATAAAGAGAAATAGAAATAAATAAAAAGTATGAAAAATGTATACAAAAATGACAAGCTATAACACTAATGGAACAAGAGAGTGCAAAATTGATGGTGTAATTAACAAGCATGTGCAAACACTGACAATATGAGCATAGTTATATAAGATGAATAAAAGAATAGAGAAGAATAATTCAACCATGTGCAGAGAAAGAACAAGGTGGCAGATATTTCCATGTTCATAACTCTGGGTTTGTGTTGTGCAGACGTATTGCAGCGGAAGAGGATATTGTGTAGATAAATATATAAATTGACAAAATACAAAAATATAGAACAACAAGGATTAACAATTGACAAGAAATATGTGCAAAATTCCAGGTTTGCGCATGACTGAGGATGGACCCAATGATGGCGATGGTGAATGTGCACCATCATTGTCTTTGGCAGATTGAACGTTTTCAGCTGCCGCAGGAAGTAGATCCTCCGCTGGGCCTTGTGAAATTTCAAGTAGGACTGATGCCCTTTAGAGACAGCTGTCAGAGGCTGTCCCGTCCGCAGCGTATGCACCGCATCGCGGACGGCAATGACAGCCAGGTTTTAAGTGTGTAAAGTCAGTGAGGTTTTGGGGAATAGCTTTTGACAGGAAAGCGCAGGCGCAAAACGGTCTTCGGCGTTGGACTCGGGTGGAATTTTCAGTGGGACTGAGGCCTTTCGCTAGGTTTTTTGCACGGGAGGCCAAAATAGATCCCCTAACCCCTAGAGTAGGATTTAGGGCAAACGCTACCATCGATCGGGCGAGCGACCCCAATAACTTTTGACAGCAAGGTGGTACACCCACAGGGCTTGCAGCGTTGGACTCGGGGTGGAATTTCCAGTGCGACAGATGTGTATTTTGCAGGATTTTGGGTGAGCGAGCAAAAAGTAGAAAATTAGGGTTTAACAGTAGGTTAGGGAATGGAGACCACCTCCAGATGGGCCTTTTTGGAGTAACTCTTGACAGGATGGCTGTAGAGCTGCGGGGGTGGCAGCATTGGACTCGGGGGAGGATTTCCAGACGACAAGATGGAGTAAAGTCGAATTTTCAAAGGTTAAGCTGATGGGCAGTGGGTAGTAGGTCTGGTTACCCACTGGGAGGCCTGAGAGAGGAAGCCTGGCCCTTCTGAAGCAGAGATGGACTTGAACCTGGGAGGTTTTGGCTGCAACGGGAGTCACCACTGCTTAGAACACTGCCTTTCGTAGAGGACACCCCTCAGCTCCTGCAGCATAAACTGGGGCTGGTTGGGGTCCTTTGGGTCCAGGCCTCCCAACTCCCCCTTGCAGAACGCCTCCTGCTGAGACACAAATGCATCACAAGGAGGAAGCAAAACCAGAGCAAGGGAAGGAAGGGAAGGAAATGAGAATACCTTGGTAAAATATTGGAACACAGCAGGCGATGAACTCAGGCCTCGTACCAATACATTTGTTCACCCTTCCCTCCTCCCTTTAGGCTAAAACAGTTTTGTTTTTTAACTCAGCACATTTGCTGTCTGTTAAGACAACACACAACACAACACACAAAAGCAATAAAACAATCATTCTTATTAATATGTATTTTCTACACAATGTTTGAGTCTAACCAGGGCTTAAAGAAAGAAATTTTTATGTGCCTGAAATGTGTTCAGGGTTTACTACAAAGATGGAGGGTAGGGGGCAAGAGCTTAACTCTGTGTTGAAAACTGACGGGGACATAGGGGCTCAGATTTGTGATTCAAATGAATTAAATCAAACACTTATTAAACATTTGTTCTACCTGCTCCGTCTCCGCCGACAGAGATTAGCAAACAGGCGAGAATGGGAACAGATGAGCGCCACATAGAGCGAGAGTAAAAGATTTAGTCCAAAACGCATTATTTTAACAATAAACACACACGGACTGCTATTGCGTCGCTTTATATTAGCCTAACTACAGCTAGCATGTAAACAAAAAAACGCGTCTACACCACATGTTGACCTTTTGAGTGACACCTGAGTTGACCTAATAGAAACTTCCATGCCATGTCCATGGGCTACAATAAGCAATGAGCGTCCACGTAGCCAGGAAGTGCCAGTCTCCTTTCTTTCGTGTGTACACAGAGCCACCAGTTGTGCAGAGGAAGACTGGCGCTTCACACGCACACACACACACATAACACACGACAGTTAAAAAATATGAAAGAATATTTTCCACAGACATATTTATATATATATTTATATATGGAATTTTAACCATGTGCTTATTAAAAAAAAATCCAGCACGCTGACTCATTAATATGAAATATATCCCCAGGACATATTTCACATTGTGACAAAGTGGGTTTGCTCATCACTTGTCCCGTACAGGTCATTATCTACATCACACTATATTAGTTTATGTAAGTGTTTATGGCTTTTGTAAAAGTGCACCACTTACTATTGTTGTTTGTGTTTGCATTTTGTTACAGTCTACAGCCAAGCATATGATAAGTTGAAGTAAACACACAGTCATAAGTTAGTTTCAGTTAAATTTTATTAGGCTGCAAGTTTAAACATGTTAATATTTACAATTGTTTGTTCCTTTGTTCAGTTTCACCATGCAGGACAATTGTTTGGGGAGGGGGGGTCCTTCTTCTTTTGTGGCATCCAAAATGTTGCATTACCGCCACCTACTGGATGATTTAGTTTTCCCAGTGCAATAAATTCAGTGCCCACCAAAAGTACTCCTATTCAGTGTATTGTTTGTTCTATGTCTCAGACTCAATGGTCTGAGATGGTGTAAATCCTTCCCTCAGCGTAGTGGCTATTTCTTCTCCTGATATGTCTGCAATGTCCAAGAATCTCCTTGCCGCATCCAACACCATCTTGATCCTCTCTGACTTGCTCTTGATTTCCACAGCACAATTAACCACCATAGCAATAATCGATTCTCATGCAGATCATATTCAGCAGATGACAAACTGTCTTCTGCTCTGATTTTACTCACTTTTATTTATTTTATTTTTTCCAGACATTGTGCTGACCTCGGCATGGTGAGTAAATGTTCCTGCTCCTCTTCACACTCCTCTCTTTCACAATTGTTCTTCCCACATCTCCTGACTCCTCTACATACTGCAGCCACATGTCCATACTCCTGACAACAGAAGCACCTTAATGGAGCTCTTTCATAAGGCCTCACCCTGTAACATCCATCAGGTTTTTCTCAACAAAACAGCAGAATCTCTGCCAAACCCTGGTGAGTACACGGCCCTACAAAGCCAAAATGCTCTGACTCAGTATTTGGTCAAAGTTTAGTTCAAACCAGAATCTGACTGTTTTACATCTGTTTTACCAGATAAAAGATATGATGTCAGAGATTTGTGTTAGTGTTGAAACAGTAAATATTATCAGCTGTACTTGTTTGGCAGAGACTCTGCTGTGTTGTTAAGTCAGCTTAACTTTTCTTTTAGTGAGAAACAGACTTGTCTTGACTGCAGGTCTCCTGTTTGACTAAAGTTTAGCTTCATTTTGAGGAACATGAAATTCAAACATGCTTTTCCAGAAACAAATACCAGGCTAATAGGCTAATATTCCACGGTTAACTTACGCAAACTCGCCACAGTCTGTTTAGCCGATGACTCAGTAGTCCAGAAAAGTCCCAACATATATCCACCAAGAGAGTTTCTTTGTTTCTTTGTTGAATTCGTCTCGCAAGCATAACACAGAACCCACTAAACGCCGACCGCTTCACCTGTTGCACTCCAGAGTTCCCCCCAAAACGTCACTTCCTACAAACCTATCCGGTGGCAAAACAATAATGAAGAAAAAAAAAATACATAAAGGAAAGTCCTTCTAACAATCTGTGATTACACCACAGGCTTCTGATATACAGTTGCTTTTTTACACGTGATGGAAAAACCAATACACAAAAAGCATGTTTACCATCACATTAAAAGCTGTACCTGAAGGCAGAATAGGTGACTATTACAATGTAACCTACAGCAGGAGTTGCCACATAGGACACAATGACTTTTGGTACTTTTTGATACTTCTAGTATCTTCAACAAAGTCCAGCTGCCCTTGATTTTAACTTTCCTTTATTTCATCCTTGTTGTCCTCAGAGTGTGGATATGTCTGCTGCCAGCTGTCTGCTGACTGAAGATCAGTTTCTGTGCTCCATCTGTCTGGATGTGTTCACTGATCCAGTCAGCACACCATGTGGACACAACTTCTGTAAAACCTGCATCACTGAACACTGGAATATTAATGTCCCGTATCAGTGTCCCAACTGTAAAAAGGTTTTCTACTCAAAACCTGAGCTGCAGGTCAACACTTTCATCTCTGAGATGGCTGCTCAGTTCAGACAGTCAGCTCAACAGAAAGCCAGCAGCAGCAGCTCAGAGCAACAAGCTGCCAAACCAGGAGAAGTTCCCTGTGACGTCTGCACTGGAACCAAACTGAAGGCCCTGAAGTCCTGCCTGGTGTGTCTGGCCTCCTACTGTGAGACTCACCTGGAGCCTCATCTGACAGCTTCACGCCTGAAAAGACATCAGCTGATCGACCCTGTGGAGAACCTGGAAGGCAGGATGTGTACGAAGCACGATAAACTGCTGGAGCTGTTCTGTAAGACCGACCAGATGTGTGTCTGCATGCTCTGCACTGTTTTAGACCACAAGACACATGATGTTGTTCCTCTGAAAGAAGAATATGAAGGAAAGAAGGCCGAGCTGGGGAAGACAGAGGCTGAAACTCAGCAGATGATCCAGAAGAGACGACTGAAGATTCAGGAGATCAAACGCTCAGTGGAGCTCAGTAAGGAAGATGCAGACAGAGAGATAGCAGGTGGTGTTCAGGTCTTCAGCGCTCTGAAGGAGTCTGTTGAGAGAAGCCAGGCCGAGCTCATCGACACGATCAAAGAGAAGCAGAGAGAGACAGAGAAACAGGCTGAAGGCTTCATCAAAGAGCTGGAACAGGAAATCTCTGAGCTGAAGAAGAGAAGCTCTGAGGTGGAGCAGCTCTCACGCTCTGAAGACCTCCTCCACCTCCTCCAAAGCCTCCCGTCCCTGAACGCTGCACAGTTTTTCTAATGTCGTCTGATTTATTCTAATAACTGCATTACCTGCCTTCAACACTTTTAAATCATCGGAAAACAACGTCCTCAGAAAGAAGAAGCATTTACACGTTCCTTAAATTTCTGGCCGCCAAATTCTAAACTGTTTATATTCTAATCATTGTTTCTATAAGAAGTGTTGCATACTGGCACAAATTACTGAGGAGCAGTTTATAAATGAGACAAAAGTCTTTTGTTTTTCTCTCTTTTTTCTTTTTAAATGTGTCTGATTAAGTTATTTTGTTTTTGATTGATATCAAAGCTGAAAAACAGCTGATGGTGTTTCTAATGACACCAAATCATGTGATTAAAAACACCATCAGCTGTTCTCAGACGTGACTCGAGCTGACGAGCTCCAATCCCCCATCACATCTGCAGTGGAAGATAATGTGGTGTTATTTAAGGTTTGGCGCTGTGAGGCCACAGTGTCATCCACTCTACCACTGTGCCACCAATAAACAGCCAATCAATCATCAAACTTCCTCATTACCAGTCTGAGGAGGAGAACCTCGATGTCACACTTCCTCAAAGGAAAGTTTGTCTGAGTGACAGTCGAGACAAGTCTCTCTTGAATGCACCGCAGGTCTGCTGTCACTCAGATGAATGTTTCATTTAATTTTGATGAATTTAAACTGTCGTGCTTTTCTAGCACTGCTTCACCTCTTTCTGCTCTGCAGGTGAGGTTCTGTTGCCCCTCAGCTTTTGTTATTTTGGCTCTAGATGAATTTAGTTTGGAGCATAGTAGGCTTGTAAGGGCACCTTGTGGTTAGTGAAGACTTTTCATTTAGTTTCATTGTAACCTACAGAATGAGTTGCCACTGACACAAATGCTCTTTGGGGGTCTTGTAGCTTTAGTGATGTTGTTGACAAAACTCTGGAACAGATCTTGTACAGGATGCTGAAATGAATAAACCTGATATAAGCCTTGTTCCGTATTGAACTGATAGGGGACAAGCCTTTGTACTGTATTTTTAAGAATAAATTCATTGCAAGTCTATGGGAGAGAAATATTACATTAGAGGTTAGAGTCTAACTATTAAGACAAGGTGATTTGAATGAGATGGAAGGAAATCCTCCTGCTTCGTTTCATTCATTTTATTAAACCTGAGATGAGGAAAACTCTTGGTTATCCAAATCCTACATCAGTAACTACTGGGGCTTCAACAGATCACAAAAATCACAGTTTGAATCATAATGTGGTTTTGAGCCACTGATCGGATAATTTTCCAGATCAGCCAAAAAAAAAAAGTTTGGGTTAAATTCAAACTTCCTCTATAGTCACCAGTGTGTGGTCTCACTCAATGTCCCGCCCACAGCACTATCTGATTGGTTGCATCTGAAGGGGGCAACACTGGACTGTGACTGGATGAGAGATGGCAGAAGAAAGTGGCAGATCAGAAAGGGAGTTAGCAGAGATGGAAGTAGGTGGTGGGAGTTATGAAGAGTATGTGGCTTCAACAGATCAGTAATATATACACTGGAGCTAGTCCATGAAGGGCTTTAAAAAACAAACAATAGAATCTTAAAATCAATCCTAAAATTAACTGGGAGCCAGTGAAGAGAGGCAAGGACAGGGGTGATGTGATCTCGCTTACGAGTTCCAGTAAGGAGACGAGCGGCAGCATTTTGAACCATTTTGTAGTCGAGAGAGAGACCTGACTAACACCTACACACAGAGCATTACAATAGTCAAGGCGTGTTGTGATGAATGCATGTATAACCCTCTCAAAGTCTGTGAGGGATAAAAAGCGCTTAAGCTTAGTAAGAAGCCTAAGTTGAAAGAAACTTGCTTTCACATTTTTACTCCAAGGTTTGTTACAACACACTTAACATAAGGTTGCAAAGTGCCTAGAAATGACTTAATAGTGTGTTTGGAATGATTTCCGCAGTGTTTACACTTAAGACAAAGCATGTTTCCTCTCAAGGCACTGGGTAATATGGGTGTGTCTTTGGAGGCCTGAGGAAACAGTTACTAGTTAAATGCTTTATAAAATCCGAATAGTAGATCATCATTCATGAATATGTCTGTTACATACTCTTTCAAGTATTCTTGATGTCCAGTGTTTCTACCTTCATTTAAACAATTAAACTTTGTTATGGCATTTTCACACAATGTTGGCAGAATTAGCCTGTTTTCAAATAGGTGATTTTACACTCAATGTATTTTAAGCACCAAAATGACTTTGCATATAGGCTATACATAATAATCTGAGGATTCAGCAGAAAAAAACACTAATACCATTTTGTTAACTTTTGATTTGATACAAATTATAGTCGGATCTTTAATGTGCACAGTGTTGAGTTTATTCTGTGTATAGGGTTAGTTAAATAGATCGGACTGTAGATAACAGAAAACATGGGGAAGTGGAAATATTATTTGACTTTTTGTTTAATTAAAATACTTTTAAAAAGGTTAAAGCATGGCATGACGTGATTCTACTGGCTCTGTGGAGGTGTTTTCATTATTATTTGCTTGTAGGGATTTTGTGGTTTTTTTTCTTGAATTTTAATTAGATTTGAATGAAGGAAGTAACTCTCTGGCCTGGGTCTCCACTTTAAGGAATTGGGTTCCAGCCAATTATAGCTGCAGTTATGTAAGAGGATTCAGCAAAAAACAATAATAACATTCATACCATTTTGATGAGATCTATACTTGGATCTTTAGTTTGTTCTATGTACATGTAAGGGTTATTTAAACAGTTGCACTGTAGATAAGAACAGAAAACATGAGCATAAATGTTTAGTTCTCTACACATTGTAATTATACCAATAAAAAAAATTACAGTACCTCTTGTTTCTTCAGAATCAAGAATTTTGTTCCCCTGTGCGTCTGTGAGGATTAACGTGTCATAGCTGCCAAGGGCATCTTGGACTTTGCTGAGTATGCGCTGCACGGTGGCCTCACTCTCCATGAAACGGATCACCACCATTCTGCTTGGTCTTAGTTTGGCATTCACCAAGTCTGCAATGAATATAGATCTAGAATATATCCAAAAGAGTGAAAAAATACAAACCCTTCAACGGCCTCCTTCACGTCTCCTGATAGCTTCTCCTGGTAGCGCCTCCATGCTCTGGACACTACGCTGACAGACACAGCAAACCTTGTTGCCACAGCTCGCATTGATGTGCCATCCTGGATGAGCTGCACTACCTGAGCCACTTGTGTGGGTTGTAGACTCCGTCTCATGCTACTACTAAAGTGAAAGCACCGCCAGCATTCAAAAGTGACCAAAACATCAGCCAGGAAGCATAGGAACTGAGAAGCGGTCTGTGGTCACCACCTGCAGAACCACTCCTTTATTGGGGGTGTCTTACTAATTGCTTATAATTTCCACCTGTTGTCTATTCCATTTTCACAACAGCATGTGAATTTGATTGCCAATCAGTGTTGCTGCTTTAAAATTCAACAAAAGGACTACAGTATGAAACATTGTTGTGAGCTTGGCTGCTTAGTGTGATTGATACTGATTGTTGTTTGTGTTGTTTTTTTTTGTTTTTTTATCTCTATTTTTAGGAATGTGTTTTTATTAGGAATGTGTTTTTAGGTTATATTTTAACTGGCTTATTTATTTTTATTTTATTTATTTTATTGTCCTTTTAAATGCACTACAAAAGCAGCTGATGAGAAACAATTTTTCGTTTCTCTGCATATTGAAATACCAGGTGAAATGACAATAAACTTTATCTATCTATCTATCTATCTTACACACTGCTGGCCGATGGCACACAGTTAAGTACATTATAATATGTTGCGCTGTACTAATTTGAGGATGCATTATAAAGCCAATATTACTGAACAAACAAGCAGCAGTCAATAAAGAGTCGAATACAGTAGGCCACAATTCAATCAAGTTCATGTTCGCGGATCGCGGCCTCAACCTATTCAGTCAAAACTGTGCTGATGGTGGAGGAGTGCATAGTTCATTAGGAAAACATGTTCATTTAGCCAAAGTCTGTTTATCTTTTTAATGTAAATAATAGTAGTACTAATTACAATGAAAAAATTAAATTAATTAGTGATCCCCACAGCTGCATGATTTTACTGCTTCCATGGGAGCTCAGACCCTCCTTATGGGAGCTAAGCTCCCACAGACTCTCACGTAACTCGAACCCTGGGCTTCATCCAGCCAGAGGGATGACCGACTGTCCGCGGTGCACCAGGTCGCTCCCGCGGCCTCCTCTCCCTTTCCCAGTAGGCTCCAGCACCCGCTACCTGCTCCGACGGCAGACTTACTATGAGTTATGTTGCCAGTGGAACAGACACACTGGACGGTCAGCGGTCGTTCCCTCTGGCTGGATGAAGTCCGATGCTCCTAATCTATGTGTCCCTGCAGCTGGAGGCTCTCCGCAGTGGCGCACAACTTTCTAAATTCTTTCATCTCCGAAAATAAAGGTCAGGTCAAAACATTGTATCCATCCATCCATCCATCCATCCATCTTCATCCGCTTATCTGGGGTCGGGTCGCGTGGGCAGCAGCTCCAGCAGGGGACCCCAAACCTGTCTTTCCCAAGCCAAATTAACCAGCTCTGACTGGGGGATCCTGAGGCGTTCCCAGGCCGGTGTGGAGATATAATCTCTCCACCTAGTCGTGCCTGGAACACCTCCCTAGGGAAGTGTCCAGGAGGCATCCTTACCAGATGCCTAAACCACCTCAACTGGCTACTTTCGACACAAGGAACAGCGGCTCTACTCTGAGCTCCTCGTGGATGGCTGAGCTTCTCACCCTATCTCTAAGGGAGAAACCAGCCACCCGCCAGAGGAATTCCATTTTGGCCGCTTGTACCCGCGATCTGGTCATGACCCAGCCTTCATTACCATAGGTGAGGGTAGGAACGAAAATCGACCGGTAGATCGGGAGCTTTGCCTTACGGCTCAGCTCTCTTTTCGTCACAAGGGTGTGGTAAAGTAAGTGCAATACCGCCTCCGCTGCTCCGATTCTGCGGCCAATCTCCTGCTCCAGTCTCCCCTCACTCGTGAACAAGACCCCAAGG